CCTCTCGTCTCATCCTTCTCGCTCCATCCCCGCCGCATACACCGCCATCCGAGTTCCTCAGACAGCCGGAGGTGGTGCACAGGGCCACAGGGCGCACCCTCAAGCGGTCCCCAGCTCGGCTTTGAGGGGCACGAGCGACAGCATGGACACCAAGCGATGCTTTGCAAACCGCTTCGATGACTACCAGGGCAGCCTGCTGGCGGGCCAGTGCGAGGAGGCGGTGGCGCCCTTGGTCACCGCCACCATCGAGCGCATCCTCCAGGAGCTGCCTCCGCTTGGGGGCGGCGCTGAGGCCCGGGGTGCCACGGCCACAGCCAGCGGCTGCCAGGGGGGGCTGTACAGCGGCGTGGCCGGGGTGGCCTACATGCTCTACCACGTCTCCCAGAGTCCGCTCTTCGCCGCGGCCCGGGAGCGCTACCTGCGCTCGGCCAAGCGCCTCATAGACGCGTGCGCCCGCGCCGAAGAGTGGGGTGAGCCGGACGCCGACACCCGCGCTGCCTTCCTGCTCGGGGGCGCGGGCGTGTACGCCGTGGCCACGCTCGTATATCACGCCCTGGGCCGGTCCGACTACGTGCAGCCGCTGGGCAAGTTCCGGGCTCTGTGCGCCGTCTGCGCGCCGGTTTCCTTCCTGGAGTGCGGCTCGGACGAGCTGTTCGTGGGCCGCGCGGGCTACCTGTGTGCCGCGCTGGTGCTCAAGCAGAAGCTCGCCCAGGAGGTAAGAGGCAGCCCCGGCCGCGGGAGGGCGCTCGCCGCCTGCCCGGCCCGGCCCTGCCCCACCGCCCTTCCCGGACTCCGTGACTCCCGCCCCTGCGTGTTCTCCGTCTCTCTTTGTTACTCTTTGTCTGGCGCTGCCATTTCTTGTCTCCTGAGGTTTATCTCCTGCTTTTGTGCATTTCCCCTCTCTTTTCCAGTCTCATTCGTTGGATCCTCCTCTTGGCTCTTTGTTGTGTTTTATGCCGAACGTGGCCTCACCCCGGATTCCTCTTTGCCCAAGGGCTGGCAGTGTGACCCTTGCAAGTGACATTAGAAAGGGAAACACCTCAAAAACAGAAGGGATTTCCCTTCGTTTGACTGTGCTGTTAAAAGCTGAGGCACCTGGAAATGTCCGAGTACTAGAAAAGTAACAGAACTTGTGGGGGCCGCCGTGGAGGTTAGTTGCTTCTGAATCCTTGGGTCTGCCACGGAGGGTAACCGCCCAGCTGCTCTGATGCGCTGGCTGCCTTGCTTACTATGCAGCTCCTTCAGGGACTCTTATTGAATGCAAATCTGATAGAATTTCTGTTTTTGGAAATACAGAAACGCGGGCACAATTGTACCCCGTGGTGGTTGAATGTGCATTTTTCATTTTAAAATGTGTACTTAGGACGGACAAGACCACTGACAGGGCAGCTTTCCTCCATGTATAGCTTTTTGGTGTCTTCTTGAAATGAATTGGATTTCACATCTATGTATGTTTTTTTTTTTCTTCTGGATTCACTTTTGAATGCAGCATGTAGCTATTGGAAGAGAATGTGCCAGTTTCTTTGGAGTAGGGAAAAAAAAAACTCCAAAGGATCATAGTAACTAGAACTGAAAGGGAGGCACTTTCATTCATAATCCATTGGAGCCGAATATGGTTCTAGACAGGAAGTGACACATTTAATTTGGCTTTATTTGGGTGAGAAGGGCGTTTGAAGAAAAATTAAAGATATACAGAGTGTTTTAAAAGTAATTAACTCAGATAACCTCTACAGCGGCAGACATGATTTATTTATTTATTTATTTATTTATAGCAGGTGAGGTTGTTTCAAGTGAGAAAAGCGATTACTAAAGAATGTGCATGGTGCTAGCAGGGCAGCAAAGGTCTGTGTGACAAAGTTGTCTTGAAATAGTTCACTCTGCTTCTGAGTCACTGTTATCTGCTAGCAGTTTCCCAAGGGCCCTTCCAGTTGTATAAAACCTTTTAGAAGGCCACAGAGCTATTTACATATAATTTGCATGACATTTGCATCTGCTTCCCAGACCTTGCAGTCTGGTGATCCGCAATTTTCAGTTTTTTCCCCCAGTCGTTTTCCTTAAGCTTGCTTCTTTCTCTTTCCTTGCCTTGGGATCTTTTCACCAGAATGGCATGGCAAAGAGTGTGAGATCCACCAAGTCACACCAGTAGAAGCAGAGCAGAGAGACTGCCAGAAACCTGGTGCTCTAGGGCCAGTGTGTAACACTGATCCACAGACATGTTTATTAAGACCTGTCTTCCACCCTCCTGTCAAGCCAGATCTGTCTGTCTGTGCTATGAATCTCCATCCCAAAGTCCTAGCCAGCACATGACTAAGTAGATGATCCATAAACCTTGGTGAAATGGGATTTCCAACTTGTGTCATTTTTCCGTAAATAATCTATCATTATGTTTCAGGTTTCTTTCCCTCCAATTTCATTTATATTCACCTTCCCCTAACAGTTCTGTCAGTTATCACCCTTTTAGATCCTCCCCACACTACTTGACATATCCTTGCCACCTAACGAATAAGTGAATGGCTGAATCACCATATCTTCAAATTAGTACAGTGTACTCTGAACTGGATTCTCCCACTCAAGCCATTCCATCTACCTCTAAGAAACTAATTTTCTTAAAAACACTTTTCATTGTGTCATTTCCCAGCTCAACATCCTACAATGGATCCTTATTACTTTTTTTTTTCCCTAGGGACTTCTCTTATAGTTAAAACCACAATACTTAAAATGGCCGACAAGGCCCCACATGATCTAGCCCCCTGCGTCCCTATTCCACTTCCGGCTTACTCTTCTTCAGCCACACTGACCTTGCTGTTGTAGGCATTCTCCTGTCTCAGGGTGCTCGTACTCTTTGTTCTCTCTGCTTGGAACACTTCCTCCAGATATTTTTATACCTAGATTCCTGACCTTGTACAGGTCTTTACCTCCTCAGTGAGGCCTTTCCTATCTGCCCTATTTAAAATTGCAACCCCTCTCCCTGATTTATTCTCCCTCCATGATTTATTTTATTAGGTTTCTTTATGTTTTCACCAGTTAGAATGTAAGCTCCACAAGGGTGGAAATTTTTGTTTCATTGCTCTCTCCTCAGCATCAAGACAGAGCTCAGCACATATCTAGATAACTTTTTTTTTTTTTGCTGTTGTTGAATATACTGTCCATTCAGTGGCTTGCTTTCTCACCCAGTTTAAATGGTGGCTCATTTATCAATATTTTCCTCTATGATTATGCTTTTGGTGTCATGTTTAATGAAATCCTTTCCTACTCTCAGGGTCTCAGTAAGTGTTTGTTGAATGAATGAATGAATGAATGTAGTTCTCACAAATTTTTCCCCAGATGAACCTCAACCATTAGACTGCTAGGTCTTAAAATTTTAATGTGTATGGGCATCACCTGCAAATCCTGTCAATAAAATACTGATTCTGAATCAGGCTTGGGATGGGGCATTTCTAACAAGGTCTTAAGTGATGCTTATGATGTTGGTGGTCTATTGACCATGCTTTGAACAGCAAGGCAACACAGTACTACACAGGTTTTGGCATTATGCCAGCCACATCTACTAAGGCATGCTGCACGATGCCATTATATAAGACTGTAGTTTAGAATGCTGATTATTACAAGGGTACTTCAAAAATTTCACGGGAGGTGAGATAAAAATAAGTTTATTTTGGTGCAAAAAAATTTTGAAAGCGTGTCTATGAGTATATTCTACCAGCTTCCATCCTGAGGACTCACAATACAGATTTCTCTCAGGTCCTAGAAACCAGACATAGTTATATTCCTTCTGGCAATTTATTGGATGTTTTAACCTTTGAAATATTCCATGTAACTGATTGTACTTCTCACTTTGTGTTGGCTTTTAAGAAGTGTTTGGCCAGAATCGTCGTCCACTTAAGCTAGCATACGGTGCCTTATCCATGTATAATTTTTATGTAGCAGCATTTACCCCTGGGCTTATCTAATTTGTTCCTTTGTAAATGTATCCTTTTCTTCATTTTATAACTTGTATTTATGTTTATAAGATTCAAAGATGAAAATAGATGTGTGTGTGTAAATAGAGAGAGACAGGCATACAGAGAGAATCACTCTAGCCAGGTAGTATATTTTCATTTAACTTGGTCCTCCTGGTAATACTCAAGTACCACTGAGGATTTATTAGGCAGATACCCTTGAGCAATGGGGCACTGAAGTCCCAAAAAATCTTTTGTTGGGTCATTTCTGCTTTCCACAGATGGGCAGAAATGTTACAGGCAATAGTGGTGGGATTAAGGGGAGGCCTAGGACCCCAGTTAAAATAATTTTGCCACTGAGTGATCTTGGATGAGTAATTTAACATTTTGAGCTTCAATTTAATCCTATGTAAATGGCTTAATACAAGTTTCCTTAATAAAAGACTTATTCTGCCCTTTATTTGTTAATTCAGTGAATAGCAGGCTTCTGCATTGTGCCAGATACCTTACTAGATACTGGGACTCAGTAGCGAACAAAAAAGCTATATAATTCTGTTGTGCTATGCGCTCTGACAGAAGTAAACTAGCTTAGGGCACATGGAGACAGTAGGCCTGCAATTAGGATAGATTGGTAGGAAGGCTTCTCAGTAGAGGTGATGTCCTGGCTCATCCCTAGAGCACAAAAATGAAGTGACTGCCCGAAGAGCAGACATTCCAGGCAAAGAGCACAGCAAGGACAGAGCCCTGGAGCTGGGAAACAGCTTGGAGATTTCAAAGAAATGGAAGGAGGCCAGCATGGCTTGAGCAAAGAGAGTAGGTGACAGAGGAGTTCAGTACCATGGGAAGAGGTAAAATCCTACATGGCCAGGTCAGTCAAAGTTAGGACTTGGCATTTGTTCTTGTTTAACCAAGGGAATGTCTTTATCTTATTTACCTTTTAAAAAGATGACCTTGATTTTCTGTTTGGAGAGTGGATTGACAATATTAGGAATGATTGCAAAAGGCACTGGTTATAGAGGCTCTAACCCCCTTTTGTACCAAGGACTCGTTTGTCTTTCTGGTGAAACCTATGGGATCTTCCCTTAGAAGAAGATTTTTGAATGCATAATATAAAACAAATAGAATTAGAAAGGAAGTCAGATTACAATTCAATCACCAAAACATTTAAAAATGTGTGATGTAGTATCATACATGCATTTTTATTAACACGTTAAATTACAGTATTTTGTAATGGGCCTAAGGATTATGGTATTTTGAAGCAGTTATAAGGGCTGATAATATTTCAAGATATCTTCAACAACTTCAATGTAATATGCATAAATCTGTGATATCAGTAGGTGGCAAAGTCCCAAGTACTGGTTATTTGTGGTCTACATTTGTCATGGAAGGAAATGCTTAATTGTTTAACTGCATATATAGATGTGATGTTATTTTCCCAAAGGAAATTGGTTTGAAAGTTGCTATGATGACTAACCCTAGACAAAATGCCTAGCATCATGTTTGGCATATAGTAGCTGCTTAATGAAATCAGTAGTAGCCCTTTTTGCTCCTGCTAACGGAAAACCCAAGGTAAATCTGAGCATCACATAAAAAATTATATTCAATATATGGTATCTGTCTTCCTGCTGTAATTAAAATGATTGCAGAGTTGTTAATTGGGTACTCAGCTTGCTAAGGCAGGTGGCTGGCAGCTGTAAATGTGGGTATGCTTTTAGCTACATAACAGAATGTCCAATAAAAAGTGATTGAAATCATGTGAACAGTTATTACTTCACTT